AAATGGATTGCTTCTTTAATAGACAAGATACTATGAGAATTTGCGAGAATGTTGATTTTGTGTTCATTTTGTGCATGCTGTTTGCATTTATTATATGAGATGCACATGAATGCAAAGAGTCCAGCTTATCTGCTTTTGATTCCGGTAGGTTGAGGCATAGATTTTCTTATTAGGTTAACCCAAGTATAATAGTCAATCGGTAAATATTTTCTGCTGCAAGAAGTGTCAACAAATATCTAATTTTTTTAAGTAGTCATAGTTTGTCACTTTTTTATAAGCATTTTTATATGTATTGTTAAAATAACTATTCATGTTTAGTGTCGGTTTAGTGTTGTATTCATGTTTAGTGTATACAACATTTTGAGATTCCTTCCATATCAGATGAAAGACGCAATTCTATAATAAATATATCTTTTCTAGAAACGTATATGACTGTGTTGTCAGCATAATTAATAGATTTTTGTATATAATAGAATGTTTCAAAAAAGATACTATGTCATTAAAGTAAATTTAAAAAATTAAAAAATATTTATCCTTGAGGTACACCACATAAAACTTTTCCAGTTTCAGATACTTTGTTTTGAAAACAAATTGTTAAGCAGGTAATCTTTAAACCAGAAGAGTTCAGTATCACGAACACCATAACTGTTAAACTTGTTGATAAGTATTCCGTGACTTAATGTGTCAAATGCCTTACTCAAGTCAACTTACAAAGTCCCATTCTTAGCCAGGCCCTGGTCACTTACTGTTTTTAACTATTACATTTTTTAAAAATTAAAAAAACTATTGTATTTTAATACTAACAATAAAAATAAATAATAAAAAAATTTAAAAAATTCAAATGACAATTTTTTAAAAGAAACAAACTGAGAAGAATATTATGTTAAAAATTTGAGTGTTTTTATCAATGGGATTTTTTGAGAACAATAAATAAGATTTGATAAGTGATGAATAAGACTTTGTGTTTTTTGTATTTACTTATCAATGACTGATTTACCTTTTTCTGATCAGCTTCCACAAAACAGTTCAGCTTCTCACCGAACAGTTGCAAGTCACTCTACACTCCTACAACTTATAGTGGACAGAAAAAGAACTAAAAAAGGGTAATTTGGTCTGCCCACACACAGTAAGCATAACAATGTAATTTGTCCCTAAGCATAACACCTTTCCCAACATTTTTTTTAAAATAGCAATAAAAAAGTTTTTTTAATTAGTAAATTACTTTGAAAATATAAAAGGATAACATTCTTAATTTTAACTTTTTTTGCCTTCACAAAAGTCACATCTAGATTGCACCTGTCCCAACCTCAAGCTTTAGTCAATGTATATACTGAAGTAACTGGATAGAGTTATTTTGATATGATAACATTTTACACAAAACATTTATTTATATGTATAAACGGTAGTGGTGTAATGGTAGAGCGCTCGCTTCAAAAGCGAGAAGTTCAATCCCCACCACGTCCCTAGTAGTACCATGCTCAACTTGTTTCTCAGCGCAGCAGCCTTTTTTATTAAGGTTTTTGTTGGAGTTGAGAGAGGGTTATAACCACAATTAAGTAGCCTCCTCTTCTGTTTCTCTTCTTGGCCTTGGGGAGAGGAATTGACATATATATATATATGTATATATATATATATATATATATATATATATATATATATATATATATATATATAAATATATATATATATATATATATATATATATATATATATATATATATATATATATATGTATATATATATATATATATATATATACATATATACATATATATATATATATATATATGTATGTATATATATATATATATATATATATATATATATATACATATATATATATATATACATATATATATATGCATATATACATATATATATACATATATATATATATATATTTATATATATATATATATATATTTATATATATATATATATATATATACTATATATATATATATATATATATATATATATATATATATATATATATATATATATATATAAATGTATATATATTTATATATATATATATATATATATATATATAAATATATATACATTAATATATATATATATATATAATATATATATATATATATATATATATATATATATATATATATATATATATATAATATATATATATATATATATATGTATATAAATATATATATTTATAAATATATATACATATATATACATATATGTGTGTGTGTGTGTGTGTGTGTGTGTGTGTGTGTGTGTGTGTATGTGTGTGTGCGTGAGTTCACTTTAAATCACTATTCAACAAGATTTTTAAAAATTTATTCAACATAGCAAACACAACAATGGTAACAGATGTTTTTCTTATTATAACTATTCTTATAATAATTAAAATATGGAACTCTCTACATAATTGTTTAGTTTATCTACATTTTATCTTTATTTATTTATTTATATCTGTATATAAATATTTATTTATTAAAAATATATATATAATTATTTACATAACAATTTAAGGCATGCATCTATGACATGCCTTATGTTATAATGTAAATAATTATATATATATTCCACTAATTGGAATGCCTTATGTTATAATGTAAATAATTATATATATTCCACTAACTTTGATATTTCAAAGATCTATGACCCAGGCAAAGTTCCGATCAAATGGTTCTCAAAAAATGTTACCCCTTTTTTCAAGAGTAGTTCTAAAACTGACCCCTCTAACTAAAGACCAATCTGTCACTTGCAAAATAATTAAGAATATAAAATAGACGATACAATTCATCTGCTTGGGCACCCCATCTAATAGCATTCCTTTGTAATACAGCCCATGCACACATATTCGCCAAGAAAAAAACAATTAACTGTCTGACTTGTCTGAAACAAGTTTTTTAACAACTCTATTGTTACGCAGAGGAATGCTGACTAAGTTGCACAGGTCAGATCTATCTACTGTTTTAATATCTTCCTTAACAACCATATTTACTACTGGACATCATCTACCGTGACCATCCCAATGATTAATCAAACTAGTCCTGCTAACTGATTATGTGTTCATTAGAACATGCCCATTTCTTTTAAATCAATTTATTAACTAATTTAATATAGTGATTTAACAATATTTTATCATTGTTTTGTACTGTATTAATATAGTAGTTTTAAAAATTTAACCTATAATTATTTATTAATTTGACTAAATAATAAAGACAATTAGAAAATAAAACACAATAAAGATTGTAGTTTTATTTAATCAAAAGTTTAAATTTATCAACAAAAGATGAGTGGTTACTTTCCATTCTCTTTAAATACTATGTTACAATTTAAATTCAAAACAATGCTTATTAATCTCAAAAAAAAAATTTTAAGTGCACAAAAAATGTTCAATAAAATTAAATGAGTTATTTTAAAGCTCTTGATTCACAGATAATTAAATAAAAAAAAAGGTCTCAAATTTTACATTAATATTTGAAAAGTTTTTTTTGAAATTTATATACAATTTTACTTTATTTAAGATCCAGAATTAATTTGGATAGTATTAAGGATTAAATAATAAATATTCTTAAATTGAAAAAAATTTTCGAGAGGTTATTTTTGAGATTCAGTGTCATTTTATGAAAAAATAGAAAACTCTTCAAGTTTTTTAATATTTATTCTAACATATTCTTACATATATTTTTTGTATATTCAAAAGTAATATTTTGTATCAAAAAAACCTGACTGATAACAATATTGAAAAGATATAAATTAAAAATATTTCTAATTTTAAATTTTTAACAAGTAAAAATTACCATTAATAGACGGATTATTTCTGGGGATGGTTCTTTAATAAAAGCAATGTATGGCATAAAACGATGAGATTCTTTTTGTAACTGCACATTTTTTTGAATTGCATTGAACAACATTGAAAGACATTCATGACTCCCACATTGGGCTAAAGCATCCAATAAAAAACTCCTTAAGTAAAAAAAAATTTAATTAAAAATCCTTTAAAAAAAAGATCAAATAATCAGACACTCACATCTTGAAAGCAATCTGAATGAAAAAATTTAGTATTTTCAAATTTTATATTTTCACTGTTTGAGAGCCTCAAAAATTCACTTATAACATTGTCACAGTCACAAATAAAACACTTAATAAAATCAACTTAGTAACTCAAACAAAGTTAAAAAAAAGTAATAATTACTTAAACATTTACTAAAATATTTTTTTAAATTATTAACTTTGTGTATAACAATTACCTAACAGAAGGTTTATCCATTTCCACTGATTGAAGAATGGAAAAAATATCATTTGAAGTAAGTTGCCTCAAAGATGCAACAAAATCAATGAACTTTTCAGCAGTATCAAATTTACTCTCAGAAAAATGTTCTTTTGATAGTGTGTCCAGCAGATTACTTACTTTTACTACACTTGGCACTTTAGGAGGAGTGTGTTGATGGTTGTGGTCATATTTAATTGAAGTAACATAAAAATCTGAAAATAACTTCAGTAAATAATAATATAGCTAAATATTTTTTAGATGCAAAAATTGAATCATATAAAAATATTTAAAACAAATCAAAGAAAGAATAAGTAACAACTTGTGTAAGCATCAACCCATGAAAACATCTTTTGCTCGGATACCATGATCATTGATGATCTGCAAATAAATTATTTTTTTAAATTCTTTACTTCAAAATACTTTCAATATTTTTTTATTTATAAACTAAACTTTTATAAGTTACAAGGAATGATTGCGTTGACTCTTGATAAAATAGCATTTGATTTTGTAAACTCTTTTTAATAAAAAAATTAATCGTTAAACATTTAAGAAGAAATCAGTCATTTGCAGAACTTTCCTAAATATCAAAACAACTCTACAAGTTAAAATTTAGCATTTTGCTATAAATTCAAACATGAAGTTAGTTTAAATAAATTCCTCAAATTTTTTTCTTTTAAAAATGTTAATGATTTTTAAAACGTAAAAAATACAATACAACCTTAATTTAAAACATTGCAAGGACATCTTTATAATCAAAGGGTATATATAACAAATAAAGTAAAAATTGAGAACATATCCAATACCTAAAAAATTTTGTTTTAAAAAGATCAGTGTTGTTTTTGGAGTACCAATTTTATGGGATTTGTGGTGCATCAGATATTTCTTCTGATTGTAAGATAGCAGTAACTGTTTTTATTTAAAGCAGATCAAGTGAGTAATGCTCTAATCTTAAGTTCATAAGTTCACTGCAAAGATACAACCATTTATTTGCAGTTTTTAGGGTACACACACAGAAAATATTAAAAGTTCTGTTGACAATAACAGCAAAACTATTCCTAAAAAAGTATTTAAACCAACTTGGAAAAACTAATTTTAAACAACTCTATACATACTTAAAACAGGCTTCGGCAAAAGCAAAAAATAAAAAAATAATTGAGATGTGCTTTTTTTGTGGTTTTTGCAGTACATATACCTGTATATATACAATTTATTAAACTTAATGATGGTGTTCTAACCAGGTTTGACTAGCCAATTAGTTGGAGCCAGGTATAACTGCACAATCAGGGTTTATGTCATTTTCAGCCAACCATAATTAATTCTTGAACCATGATTCTATCAAAAATCATTCATTGAATCATAATTTTTTCAAAAATCAAAAAAATAACATAAATTAAAAGTTTTTAGATTTTATAGCGAGACTCAGCAGACATTTATCACAATTACAAGATTTTCAATATAAGCTTCCAAAAAAAAATCTGTAAAATTCCACACGAAGATCCAGTGAACTAACTAACTTCCATTATTCCATTTAAGAGTGTACAATAAAACTTAAATAATTACCATGCTATAAGGTGCATCTTAAAAAGATGTATATAGTTTTTTATATCTGTTTTATATATTTCATTTTTATTATATTTCAGTTTTAAACATTGTTTCCAAGCTAACCATACTTTAATTTTTATGCTTAGAGGATCTACAAGATGAAAATAAACTCTAGCATAATATTAAATTAAAATTCTGAAAATTCTGTTAATAAAGGTATAATAACCAGTAAATGCGGAGATCTTTTAACATAAGCTGTATTACAAATTATGATACTTTTCAGTTTAATTAAACATCCATGTGACTTAAGTTGTACTTTTGGTTTTTTAGCAAATGCACCACATATATTGAGTAATACAAGGACATCTCTTTTATGTAAGAAACTTTTATAATTACAGTTAAGAATAAGTAATAATAGACGCCAGTAATAATAGACGCGACTTTGAGGAGATGTTCATTACTTAATCACTACACAAATTATGTTTACACATTAGCATTAATGTTTTTTTTCCATTCTGAGGCCTTTCATTGTTGTTAGTATACTTTTTATTTTGCGATCGGTTTTTTGTTTTATAAGTTTTTTGTCTGGTGATGTATTTATTGTATACCTTCGTTCATATTGGTGTTTATAAAACAATTTTTTTTTTTGTTATTGTTGTTGAGTACTGTTTTGGGTGTATAGTCTGTTTTATTTATTTTTAAATATTCCTCTATTAATCTTTTGTCTTGAAAACTGTCAAAATATTCTATGTTCAATATATAATTTTCCTTTATTCTAATGTACTTCATTTCTTCCCTCAGACATTCACTGCTCGTGTGTGACCATTCGGCGAATTTTTTATGTGGATTACATGTATTAAGTGTAAAAACGAGGTGGAAAAACACTAGATGGAATAAGCTTCCATTTTGTTTTTCTACTTTTTGGAAAAACAAGGTGGAAACTTATTCCATCTGGTGTTATTTTGAGGATAACGTATTATTGCAAATTAAGTTTCTTCTAAAAAAATAAAACTTTTAATATGAAATTACAATTTACTCAGGATTTTTTTTTAAATCTTTATAACTGGTACATGTTTTAAAACATTTTTTATTCTTGGTTTTATTCTGGTAAGATTAAAACAAGTTTTATTCTTGGTTTTATTCTGGTAAGATTAAAACAAGTTTTATTCTTGGTTTTATTCTGGTAAGATTAAAACAAGTTTTATTCTTGGTTTCATTCTGGTAAGATTAAAACAAGTTTTATTCTTGGTTTCATTCTGGTAAGATTAAAACAAGTTTTATTCTTATTTTTCAATTCAAAAATGACTTGAAACTTATTGTCAATTGATGAACTAACTAAAATTGATAAACAAATTAAAAGTTAAGCCTTTATCCTAATTCTCATTAATTTAAATTGAAGCTTGAAATTAGGTTTATAAAATTTAAAATATTTAGCCTTAAAAAAAAGTGTTTTACTATGTTAGCGTTTTACTATGTCTAACTTGGCAGCAAGATTATGACAACGCATGAATTAGCTTTGAGTGTTTAGATTAAAATAAAACTAATTTATAAAAAAATGGTAAAACTTTTGTCAGGTCTTAACTTTTGTTAACTTATAAACTACAATTTTTTCAGGTTTTTTTAAAAGGATTTATTTATTTGCCGAATAAATTTTTGTTAATGAATAATTTGAATAAAATTTTTAAAAAAACATAAAGTATTTAAATTTTTTAAACAAATTTTTGTGTTTTACAATTGTTTTTACTTAAATTCATTTATGTCATGCACTAATTTGGCAAAAACATGGCTACTTTTTTCTATGTGTCCACTTTGTGAGTATATAGGCTCTCTAGTTCCATGTAATAGTAATTCATGAAAAAAATTCAGTTTCAACATAATTTAATAAATAAATTTATTTTTAACATATTTTTACAAGCAAATTTATAAAAAAGAATTTTTTATGACCCATATTATTATATATTACACCATTTACCAACAAATATTGCTATGTTACTGACTTGCAACATTTTACTACACTATTTAATTCAAAATAATTAGAGCCAATGTGGCAACATGTTACACCATGTTTTAATAACATTCATGCTCAGTGGATTTGAGCTAAAAACATAGCGCAGTGGATCTGAGGTGTGTGCTTTTGGTGATGATTACAAGGTGATCAAGATTTCAATGACAAATACAAGGTGATCAAATTTTCAATGGTGAATTATGTGTGAGTATTATTTTTTAATAAATATAATTTAATTTAATATTTAATATCTCATTAAGAAAGATAAATTTAATTTAGACTGACCTGCTTTTAACAAAGGCACCAGCTTTATAATCACTTGAAAATGCTTTCACAAGAAAATTTTCTTCACATTGAATATCTATAAGTTGTGCTTGATTTTTTAAATCCATCTTATAAAAACAATGTGAATTAGATTCCAGAATTGATGACTAAAAAATACACACAGTCTTTATTACTTTTTACTATAATATTGATTTTTTTTTTTTTTTACTATAAATGATAGGTACAAACGTAAACCTGTGATTGTTCAAAATTGACTCTTTCATTAAAATTTTTCATTCCTCCTGAGAATGAGTAAGGATTTCCAATAATGTTTGAATGCGTGATTTCATGATTACAAGTTTGAAGTTCTTTAACTTTTTTAATTAATAAAATATTTTCTTGAGGAACAGATTTCTTGTGTTTAAGTATGGAATAAATAGTCTTGCAACTTCCTGAAACATCGTTCTGTAAATAATAAAAAAAGAACCTGTATATTTCAAGCTTCGATTGTTATACAAAAAAATTTTAAATTATAAGATATTGTTTTTTGCTTGTTTTGTTTTTTTTTCCCCCAAAAAAAAAGACTTTTAAACTCAACCACCTTTTTTTGATTGCACAAATATATACTAAATAAATAATGAAAAAAACACTTTTTATGCATATAATGGTTGACTTATAGAAGGAGAAAAAATATTTATTAGTTAATAACTAACACTTAAAAAAAATGTAGGATATACAATGTTATATCATTTTAAACTGTAAAAATTTGTTTTGGCATTAAATAATTTTAAAATAACTCTTTTGACATTTATGGGTCTAATCTTTTTTTTTTTTAACATCTTCACTTCCAAAAAGGCTGCAAGCAACTACTAATTAGTATTGGAAGTTACTGGAGAAAAGATGAAGATTGTAGAGCAAGATAAAGATTGACAGACAACTTAAAAGATTGCAAATTATATGAATCAGAAAAGCAAGATGAAGGAAGCAAATTCCAAAGAACTGATGTTCAAGGAAAAAAACTAGAGGAATAAGAGTTTTTGGAGCACTTAGGAACAGTCACAAAAAAAGGATGAGACTTAATTGAATGACGATTAAATCTAGATAAAATAAATTCATTTAAAAATCCTGCTAAATTTAAAATGAAAAAAATTAACACAATGTTTCTGTATAAATTCCTAATTTTTAAGAAAATTCCATCTAAAAATAATCTTAAGATCATTATTTGTATATGAAATGATTTTTATTAACAACTATATACTCTAGTCTTGACAAACAACCATTCCTTTTTATTGCAGCAGGTAGCCTATACTATATGTGATCTATCTTTAATGACAGCTTGAGGCTGGTGAATAATTAGCAAATGTTCAATTGTTTACTGCTAATATTATAACAGTAATGTTCTGATCTTGACAAGCAGCAACAACCTTACTGAGTCCTCTACTTACATCTCAAATTATGGTTCTTCTAACAATGTTTATTCCCTTTTATACAAGGTGCAAAAATACACTCTAAATATATTTGTACATGCTCTAGCTCCCAAGCTTATACCATTATTGCAAGGTTACAATTTATTTAAATTTTATCTAAATACTACTATGATCCCTGCTCAAGCAAGTTAACATCTCTTCTTTCATCAACCAAAACACAACCTATAAATACTTACCAAAACACAATATCTAATGAATCACCCTTATAACATTTTAAAGTTACATTAAGTATTGTAACTTAAATGAGATTCATTATGTTACGTGCAAAATGTCTGTTGTTTTTACGAAACCAAGACGCAACATTTTATGTATCAATATGTAACATAGTAGTGTAACATTACATGAAAAATATCCTTTATTTTTACGTACAATATGTAACATTCTAATTTACCGTTATCTGCAAAAAGTCTATTATTTTTATGAAACCAAGAGGTAACATTATGTAATGATACATAATATTTTGATCTAATGAAATGTTGCAACCTATGGTATATTTCTAATTTATTAATTTTTTTTCTAATTTAGACATCTAATAATATGTATAAATCTATATATATAATGCTACGCTAACTTTGTAAAAGTCAGAAGAAATTAAGTTAGTAAGATGCATAGAAAAAGGACAGATATTTCATTGGAAGTACGAAGATGTGCAAATTATACAATTAATCAGTTATAACTATTTAATGTATTTTTAGCATTGCAATTTGAAACTTTTTTTTTTCACAACAAAGTAACTAGTTGAGACAAAGCTATTTTACTATAAAAATAAAATAAAAGATGATGATTAGCAATAAAGCAATGATAAACAAACATTTACTGCGTTACCAAATTTATTTACTTAAAGTTTAGTTAAAAATTAGAAAATGTAACCTTGTTACCAATTGTCCCAATTAAAATATAACGTAACGTTGAAATGTTAAAAGGGTAATGTTAATCATTCAACAAAGTTAGATTCTTCTACGGTCAACACCAGACATAGAATATTTTTAAATGTTAGATAAATTGTCAAAAATATAAATACTTAATCAAATATACATAAAAATAAATATAGTAAATTTTTTTTGTTACTATTATTTTGTTTGGATAACTGGAAATTTATCATTTGCTACAGCACAAAATTGTTACATGTTTTAATAAAGGACTTTTGTGTAAATAAGTATTGTTATAAAAGAAAGATTTTTAATGATTAAAAACTTAAAAAAACTTAACACAAGATTCTATTGTAATAGCAAATTTTTAAAAAATTAAAACTGCAATAAATTAAAAATAAAACACCTACAACATTGCCAATGTCATTAAAGTTTTTAACTTGAAGCATACTTAAAATTCCACGTTGTATATTTAAAACATCTGGTTGTGTTGATTCAACAGATGGTTGAACCTTTATGACATGACCTTCATTCATATAAAAAAGTAGGGGATACTTAGTTAAACGATTAGCAAGGTCATATGCAGGAAGTGGTTCAAACTTTTCACTTTCACTTTCACCAAGAGATTGATGAAATGTAACTTTTGATAGCTAAAACATAGTAAAATTTTACTTAAAAAGTGATTGATAAGTAAAATGTTAAAAAAAAATTAACATTTATATATATAAAAAAAAAAGATAGCACAATACAAATATTTATTTTTTTATATTATTAACAACATTTATGGAAATTAATAACAGTTATATGTTAATATATGTAAATATTTAATAACTCTAATATCCAATAAGTAATTTAATCCATCACTATATTTTACTTTTAAAAATCAATTCGTATATTTTAAACATTTACTAAATAAAATTTTTGACTAACTTGTAGATAAAATTTGCATAAGTTCCAGTTTGAAATAGTAACATCAGCTGTAATTTTTATTTTTGTTACATTGTTTGTTGTACCGGCAATTCCATTCTCAACAATTCCAGTGAATCGAAATAACTGCTTTTGATTTTTACCAAAATGATTTTCTATAAATATTTAAAAACAGAATAAAATCTGAAACAAAAAACCTAGAAAACTAAAATTAAAATTATATCTATTTAACTATTTGATCAAAATTATAGCCATTTGGTAATTTGGTGATATCTTGCCCTTTTAACAAAACTGACCCTGTTAAAAATAATCCTAGTAAAGAGTGTTAGCATGAGCTAAAAATTATATATATATATATATATATATATATATATATATATATTATATATATATATATATATATATATATATATATATATATATATATATATATATATATAATATATATATATATATACACATCTGTCTGTGATAGAAGATAGTCACAAAAGTATGATTTCTCTGAGTTTGTGAATTTCTCCCTGTTCTCCATTAAGTGGTTCACGTCATGCAATAATTTTTATCTTCTACAAAAAAATTCACACCAACATTCACACTTCACGCTACTACCTTAAAGCTAACTGGGACTCTTTTCATGACTTTCTTTATGAAAGTTTTTGAATTGACATTTGTCCTATATATATATATAAAAGGCATATCTTTGATTGATTTTTTTACTATACACCTTTCAAGATTATCATTTAATACTGACCTCTTATGAGAACCCTGTACACAATCCATTAAACTATCATATGATTACAATCATATAATCAATGTGAGTTTGTTTATATATATATACATATATAATATGTATATAAATATAAACAAAAAGTGAGTTTGTTTTTATATATACATATATAATATGTATATATATAAACAAACTCACTTTTTGTTTATATATATTAATATTATATATGTATATATATAAACAAAAAGTGAGTTTGTTTATACATATAATATATATATATATATATATATATATATATATATATATATATATATATATATATATATATATATATATATATATATATAATATATATAATATATATACATATATATATATATATACTATATATATACATATATATATATAAAATATATATAATATA